GGCACTGTACAGTGTTTATCGACGAAATAAAGCATCGGAGGCACAATCCACCGAAACGATTCTTCCAGATACTCACTGTGAGACTTAAAGGCCAAAGGTAAGCGCGTATGTAGCCATGTCCGAACCAGCACTTCCCATCCAAGCACTTTGGCTTCCAAGAACACCATACCGACACGTGAGACTGTAGCAGGAGAGGCTTCTTCCAGATCCTCCGTCTCAAACACCATCCTCATCCGTTCCGTCATTTTCACGATCTCTCCGCTCATTAGACAGAGCTTCTTGTTGTCATCCAGTACCGTATTCATGTTCTCAATCCAGACAGCATCCACAGGCCCGTCGAACATAACCCACTGTAGTTCTGTACTGGTATCGCGAGCGCAGTTACGGTACGTGCAAGCGAGCACTCCGTCCGACCACTCGTGTGTGTTTTCGTCAAAGTTGCCGTACAATTGGCCACTGGTGATGGCTTTCGGGTTCATCGTGTGGATATTCACCCGCTGTTGCAACGTCGGTGCCCCCTTTGTACCGTTTTCTTCCTGTGTCTCGATCTCTTCGTTATAGCACGACGTCATTGCAGTTGCTAACGAGTGCACAACACACGTCTTACCCGACCCAGTAGTGCCTACAATCATGAGACCGTGACGCACCTGTACAGTCTCGTAGAACTGCACTACCTTCATCTTAAATTCGGGTTTACATTCCAGCGGAATGTTGACGTCTGGCACGATACTTATCCCTCGTTCACAGGTCTCATCAATGTGACGTAACAGCGCTCCATGATCTGGTAATGGCAGCAAAACATCGGGGAATAAATCCGACGTGATACCGCGGAAAAGTGGCAAGTCATCTGAAGTGAACTTGGGTAGGTTGACGTCCTGTACCGAGCGTAGAACGATCTTATCTTCGGTCCAAAACGGATCGTTACCGAGCTGTTGTCTCAACGCGCCGGTAGCTACCAGAATGGAGTTAACCGCACGCATTCCGTAGTCATAATGCTTCTGTGACGATAGCTGTTCCGACGCCAATTGCAGCACTTGAGTGAGCTTCCGAGCATTGCTACGCGCTTGAGCAAAGCCGAAAGAGTACAGTCGAATCTCCGAGATTAAAGCGTAGTCCGGCACCATCATAGCACACGGTCGGAACAACGCCTTGAGGTTATCTGGAAGCTCAGCACGACCAGCGTATCCTGGATTCATAGTGATAAACACGTTGGCACTGGCGTTAAGTTTGATAAACGTTCCTTCGAAGAGGAACTTGTCCACACCAGCTTTCTTGCCTTCATTAATCGTCAATATCTGCTGCGCAATGACCGATAAAACCTCGATGTTGATACGATTAAACTCGTCGAAACAGCACCACGACCCACAACCAGCCAGACCTTTGAAGAATTTAGCCATAGCTAAATAATCCAATCCATCGGAACAGTTAAACACCACGCACTGGATAGCAATCGCCTTACTCAGATCTTTCACCGTCTCCGTCTTGCCTGTTCCTGCTGGACCTTCCGGTGCGCCACCGTACATTAAATCCACTGCTCCCATCATTGTACGATAGCATCTATCAGTCAGCGGAGTGATCACCAGACGCATCGTATTGCCCAGATATTCGTAACCATAACGCACTCGAGCATTCACAATCCGGGCTTGTAAGTCGGACACACCCGCAGATTTTACGCCTTCCGTCCAGTAGTATCGAAGCTGAGAGATCCACTCAAAGTCCTGGTCACTTTCCACGTCTTTTTCGATCATATGTGAGATCGTATCTCGTGCATGCACGTCGATAACCACCAGCGCTCCGATCGTTGTACGCTCTAACTTTGTCAAGTTGCCACGCACGAGCATGACGATCTTTTCCAGTTGCAAATTCAACACCTGGACGTAATTTTTGATGCCGTTTACTCCATTCCCGAGATTAAGAGCACGCGTCACGTCCTGTGTCCAGTAGACCTGCGAGACGGCGAGAACCACTTGAGCTGGCCACTTGAGCATCCACGTCTCGCGTTGTTCCAGTGGATACGCAGCAAGAGATCGCTCTGTGTGGTCCCGAATACTGTCCCATTGACTCTGTTCCACTTCCAGTAGCCACATCTCGACGTTGCCTTTGTTCTTGCTACTCTCCGGACTCACAGGCAGTCTTAACGGCACGACTTCCCCCTCAGCAGAGCGCATTTCAGTAATCAACAACGGCGGACCGTCCTGGAATGTTACGTTGAATACTCCTTCGAAACATTTACCCAAATGAGGCTGCACAGCGCGCGGTTCTTTGGTCTGAGAGAGGATTTCAAGCAGCTCGTCGTTCGAGAGGAAGAAGAAACGAGGGAAGTGCAGACGCTTCATCTCGAGATAATCGTTCAAGCCTTTCTGGATCTCGTCCAGCTTCTCGTTGGCGCGTTGGAACTTGGCCAGTAGCTTATCCATCGCTATAACCGTTAGGAACGCAGGCTCGGCTACTGTGTCTTCCATGGTTTTACGCCACAACGCGTCCACACTGGCAAAGCGACGCGCCTCGGTGGGCATTTGCCGCATAATGTCTTCGGAACTGAAGATGGCTTCGAGGTAAAGCCACGTGCGTTGGCAGGCCATCCACTCGTCCAGTAATTGTTGAGAGTACTGTAACTTCTTCTCCCAAGCCTTACAGTCTTTCTCGATACTCTTGATGTACGGAGAGCCGCGCATCGTCTGCGTCTTGACTAGGTGATCATCCAGTAGCGCTACTATATCGTCCGTACTGCGCAGTAAGTACGTGCCAGTCTCGCGATACGGCGCCGTCTGGAACTCCACCTTTTCCCACTCCGCTATCATAGCACTCAAGTTCTTCTGAAGTGAATATTCCTTCTCTGCAAAGGTCCCGATCTCCTGTATAGTCTCCAAATGTTGCGTGATACCGCGATCAAGTAGAAGCTGCAATGTTAACTCCTCTTCAGACTCTTCAAAGCCGATAGTGTGGCGCAATTTCTCCCAATGACGCTCTTGTAATGCCGGACTGGCCAGCGACTGAATCACTGGTAGATAAGCCTTGAACTCTTCCGTGCGTTCTCGTAGTATAAGCGCCACTTCAGCAGACCCCGGTGCGTCGTCCACTAGAGACTTACTCAGTTTGTATGACGCTTTCCACCACTCCGTCACGAGAGCTTCGATCGCGCCGCCTTTGAGCTCCAAGAACGGGCCGTTGAGCCACGTCTGGCGACTGGAATGGAACTCGGAGCTCATAGTCCACAGCTTATAGTACGGAGCGAAGTCTCCTTCCAGCTTGGCCAGTAGCGGCGCGTATTCAGTCGGTGGGAAGCCGAATACTGCCTCGCGAGCATTAAAGTCTTGTGCCTTGGCTCGAGCGTCTTGTAGTGCGTCGAACAGCGTGACGGCCAGTTCCACGTACTTGTCTGTGTGCTCCACTTCGCCGTAGCGAGTGAACGCCCGTACTTCGCCTTCAAAGCGCTCCAGATCCAGCTCGAAAGCCTCTTTTTCAAGCGCCAATCGGTCCATCATACGCACTTTATCCTCTTCTAGCGCGGAATCGCAGGAATCCGCTGCATGAGCGAC